CAAATTATACATTTTCAGTCAAATTGTAATTGTTTTATCTTTTTAGTACTCACTTATCTTTTTTTTAATTACATTTTTTAAACAGATTCGAATAGAGTAATATTTTCAAATTATACAATTATTGGTCAAGTGTCTGTATGATGAAATTTAACATTTACAAATAATCCTTTTTTAACGACAATTGTTTTATAATCGAGTTTTAGCTGATATTTTAATTTGCTATCTGTATACAGAGAAGACCTAAGTGAGCACTTATTTGCTCGGATTAAAGCAAAATATTCTCCTATTAATTTATTTAACAAAGGAAATTGTTTTCTCTATACCATGAATCAGGTTAACAGACTTATGAATCTATTCATAAGCCCATCATTTTATATTTTTATGTTTTTTCCCTCATACAGGTACAGGTGCTATACAAATTGTTTATAATTTACTCCTTAAAAATTACAATTCCCGCTGTTATTCAAATAAAATTACAAAATACAGAACACCTATTATTTGTTATTATTATTATTATTATTATTTTTGACTTGAGGCTTTGACGTCTGGGGTCACTATCCTGTTTTTTTATTTAGGTGTGACGGTTGATATAGTTGGTTAGGAAAACATCATAATATGTGTGGCAAGGATTTGCCACTAAGATCTCGGGTGGTTACCTGTCTGGGAACTAGTGGCATCAGCTGGTCCTGGCGCTCAGCACACAACAGTGACTGAAGCTAGACATTGTGCAACATATTAAATTATTATTCAATGACAATTGTTTAAATATAAATAAAGACATTACAATGATTTATGTATATCCTACATGATTACATTCATATTGATATATAACATAGTTGTTCATCAAATAACACAAATCATAAGTTAGCACTGTTTTTTTTATCACTTGCTAACTTAAATAACTTTTCACCATATAAACTAATTACTAGTATATTTACAATKTACTATAATGATTGTTTTTGAAACAAAGTAATGCACATGCACTTTGTTAAAGAAAACAATTCATATTTTTTACCTCCTAAGTGGATATTAATTATTAGTGATATTACATATATTTTATTTTATGTGTTAATCACCTAAATTTAAATTATTTTTTAAGTTGTACCTGTCAAATTGAATACATTTATCTTTGATTAATGCCATTTTTTAAAGAAAAATGTAGAAATTCCATTTCAAATTTTATAATGATTTTTCACTACTAAATTAAAAAAAGAGTGAACAATTAGGTAACCGGTCTACTGTATAGTAGCAATTGACTAGTCGAATGTATCTGAGTTGGTCACTGYAATGAATATGTCAAATTYGAATTTGATAATAAATAATAACATACAAAAAACAATTCTRAGCTAATCACACACACAAGTCTATTGCTATCGATTATTATTGCAATTTATTTTACTTTTGGTCGTATTATTATAACCATTTTCAAACAGAATAAATTGGTAATAGTTTAAAATTACTCTTAATATTTGGAAAATTTTGTTTAGTATAGAAAATTATTATTTAAGTAATAACTAATGTTTCAATTTTCAAATTAAATTAAAAAACTAATATTGTTTAATGAGAAATCATTATTAAATACAAAATTTTCCCAAAAATTAAAACTTTTGATGCTCATAAAAAAAATATTCATGAAACAAACATTTTTTTTATAATTTTAGMAAGCAAAACTTATAAAGAACATTAAATTAAAAATGCAAAAAAAATTTTGTAGATTTTGTCAAAAACTGGTTTTATGTAAAATTTTGTTTTTTTACAAATTTTTTCCAGATTATTTTGAAAACAACTAATGAAATTTCCTTTTTTAACTCTTAAAATTATCCATAATGGTACCATCATTTGGTATAAGAAAACACCCCCAAAAGTTGAAGATTGAAGCATTTTTTTTTACTTTATAATGTAGTTTTAACAAATAAAAAACATACATCATTGTTAAATCAATACATTTGTCATTCTAAGTTTGTTCTTAAAATAATTTATTTGACAATTTTAAGTAATTGAATATTTAATAAATTAATGATAACAGTTAATAAAAATCACATTTCTCTTACCAATAAATTAAACAATTAAAAAATATTTTAGTTGTGTATAAAAATAATTTAATAAATAGTAACAATTAACTGCTAGATACATGTAAAACTTAACACTATAAGGAAGATTACAGTATTATAATCTAAGGTATAACTCACCAAAATATAAACGTTATTTGATCAATGATCATCAACTGAAATATATCATTACTATAATTATAATGAGGATTGTGATAGCCATTCCTCCATATAGTATGTACCTATCTTCTTTTAATCTCTTTTCAATATATTTCATAGTTGTATTCGAAAGCCTAAGCGAACCAAAAATTCCAGTCAAACGATTTYGGGTGCTTGTTAATTTATCACGTTGTTCACGCAAACTTTGTAGTATACTGACACCAGATCCTAATAAATCATCAACTCCTCGATTTGCTCCCTGAAATAAACAATTAGGTTTATTTAAATTTTTAAATTTAATAATAATATTAAAAGTACCTACTTGTAGTGAATTTTGATGTTGTATTGAACTATCGATTAATATTGTTGTATCCTTCATGTCTGAATTTCTTGTAAACCTACGATTTAACAATTCTTCACGTTCCTGCTCAGCTCTCAATCTCCTCAGCTGATTTTGTTGATGTGTTCTTAATGCTGACTAATATATATTTAGACATTTTAAGTGTGATTGAAATTAAAAATTGTTTAGTAAAACCTGTACTAACCTGTAAGTGCTGGTAATCGTATTTTAGTTGATCCACACGTAGTTTGGCATTATTGCGTCTGGAAACAGGTTCTTTGTGTACGAGAATGTCTAGGTGTTCACAATTTCTAAACGAGACATACAATTTAGCCAATGTTTTTTATGCAACTTCAACAATAAGGTATATTTAACAAAAAGTTTTTATTACTGTGAAATGGTTAATATTCTGGATTGTACATCTGCTTCGACTAGTTCGGATTTTGAACTCTCCAACCTATGGAATAATTCTTGAGTTTCTAATATCAACCTATTTGTCTGGTGGTATAAATTTTCCATTGTGTAACGTGTGTAGTACGTAAAATAATCTAACTATTAAGATTTAAGACCAATACGTATTTAATTTAAATAGAATATCTATAAATTAATTCGTAAGATATTGTGTATCTCTTCATAGATTAAGGAAATTTCCTTTATCTATGTATCTGTTATTGACAAATTTCGRAGTTCCGCCTAAACTAGTCTACCGGTTGCTTCTATTGACTGGAACCATGACCATAGTCAAGAATACTATATAGGTGGAAAAGATTGAAGACTGAATCACCGAAGTGTAAAAACACTATAAATATACATACGCAGCTAAACGAATAATTAATAAGGAATAATAATAATAATTTATTAATTCAATTTTTTTAAATTTCGATAACAGACACGTATACGCCATACAATCGATAGATAAGAATTCGTAAATCTCTATGGGCAGGCCTGACTAGATAAGTGATTGTAGGCCAGTGTCGGTAAGTGAGAAAATTCCACAGACGTGTACAATAATTATTGTACAGATAAATTTATTATACTATACTGACTATTATAGTTTACAGTCGTTAATTTTTCAATATTTCAATTTTCACTTTTCAGTACAAAATCAACGTCAAACAATATTAATGTGCGATATTTAAAATTTAAAATCCAAGGTTACTTAATAAATTTTATGTATTTAATAAACACCAAAAACTTTGTTTTATGTACTTTTTCGATCCTCGATCATACCCATGACTGTTGATTTTGTATAAATTCACTTTAGTTTGTAAATCTTAAAATGTTCACAACTTGCTTCAAAATTAAATAACAGTACGATTCATAGTTGCCTTGTGTTACCTTACCTTTAAATTTTAAAATAGGTCAATTCATTTTAATTTAAAAATAACTGAATAGTTTGAATACGTAAACATACATTTTAGCATTTTACTATGTTATACCGTTATACGCTTGTAAGACGGAAACAACACATGTAGGTGTTTCATCCCTTAAAAAATCCAAAAGAATTCAGACATAAAATTATAAAGAAATAAAATAATTAGATACAGTTGAAGTACATTTGTTATACAAGAGACAAGAGTTATGCAAAATAATCCATATTTTTTCAAAAATTAAAATCTTAATATTTAGTTTGAATAAAATATGTTATAATATAATTAGTTATAATATCTACATACATTTTTCATTTAKATTAAAGGTAATTGTAATTCTATTCTATACAGCTTGTAAAGTAACAACAAAAGTTGTCGATCTAATTCAACAGGAATAAATATTAACATTATACTTTAGGATATTATTATGTAAAGCACTTATGTCTATAGTTTATTGTAGTATTGTACTGTTTTTATAGAAATATTTTAATATTCTGATTTTTTTTTTTTGCATATAGCGCTTTGTCTGAGAATAGGTCTGAAGGCCTAGTTCAGCAGAATTTCTAATATTATTCACACAGATTTCTGGCATTTCTGTCATACCCAGTTGAGAAATGGTGGTGACACTCCTTAAACAGTCGCCTGTCTAGAAAGAGATGCCACCTGTGGCTGGGATTCAAAGCAGCTAGTGCTCATAAGAACCAACACTGTAGTCCACATGACCACTCTGTATCCTAATATTCTGATTATAATTTTGAATCCAAAAAACTTTAATATTCACCGGTTAGTTAATAACAAACAATTTGTGTTTGGTTCACAATTATTATTTTATTAACCAATTGACAGAGACCCTTTGATCCATTTTAGTGTACTCCAGAAAGGAAAATTGTAGAGTTTCTTATAAAAAGTAAATATTTTCTACAATCTATGAATGCTATTATTGTCMATGGATTAAAAACATTAAATTATTAACAGTAAATATTACAAGTCTTTTACTATGCAACTAATACATTGTATTCATAATATGCAACAATTTAGAAACCAAGTTATTTCTGATAATATGCTCAGTTTTGACCTAAAATATTT